CTCTGTTCTGTTGTAAAGCACTTAGGAAGCGTTAGAGCAGTCATGAAGTAGGGAGAAACACGAGACGTAGTCGAGTGTTTCTCCCTACTCTTCTTTCGTGCTCTAGCCGCTTCCCGCGTGCTATACAACAGAACAGAGCACAGACAAGGCTTCTCTATTTGTTAATCATCCAAACTATAAAGCTACCAAAAAAGAAAAGTACAGTTTATTCTTAGAATTACTACCTGTATGTACAGTGCATCAGTTGATTATGATTGGTAAAATGGAATTAAGAAGGAAAACAAATCCACCTGAGTGCTAAATGGGTATGTCATATAAACATGCATATAAATATTTTCTAAGTTGTGGGAAAGTTCAACTTATCGGAGGCAAACCAGTTGATTGTTTACAAAGGACTGGGAACAAATGGATCTTGGGAGTAAAGAGAAACAAATTTCATTTGGAGACAGAGTGGATGGTTAGGACCCTGGAACTCTAGAACTCAATTCCAGTGCCTTCACCCTTTAACTCCAAGAGGTGGTTGACATGTCAATTCTCCTTACAATTGCAAAATTTTATCTTGCAAACAGGTTATGAGAACATACAAGCTTATCAGCTGCTGAGTGTTATTGTGATGTAACACCGAATTCTCATGTCGAATTTATAGAGAAATGTATGGAAGTCAGTGGAGAGAATTACTAATTGGATCTTTGCCCTGATAAGGGCTGTGTCCTCCTGAAACATCTGCTCTTTTTATTCGACCAGATGAAGTGAAAGGCAGACCTCACGAAGAATAGCTAAATCTATCCTAGACTCGTTGAAGTTTCTTTTTCTGAAGATAATTTTCCTATATATCAGACTGCTATGGGGCAGTAGTCAATTTTGTGCTTACCCTTCTCTTGGTTTCTGCAGTTGAGGCCCTCAACTACAGAAACCAAGAGGCTAACTGCATTTACACCGTTGAGCGTTTCTGCCACTTGCGAAGAAATTTTGCCTTAAAAATTTGTTCAACTTTGGTTTCCGCTGGTATACAACATTTAGCATTTGAATGATTTTTAGAATAGTAACACATTTACCTCAGAATGTATATTTTCTTCGCTACTTTGCAAGAGACTAGTATACGCCCATCTGGCGCTGTTGCAATTCGACGTGGACCTAGTAAAGGAACGATAGTTTTGCCCGTAAAGCGACCGTCCAAAGAAAACTGCTGAACTCTGTTATTGCTTGAGTCACAAACGAGAAGGTTATTG